GCATCCTTCATTCCCCCCGTGCTCCCAAGCAGACTCTGGGATGAGGATGCTGCGCTGCCCTCTCAGGGCATCCTTCATTCCCCCCGTGCTCCCAAGCAGACTCTGGGATGAGGATGCTGCGCTGCCCTCCCGATCCCATCGCCCCCGGGCACGCACCTTTGTTCCAGCTGTGCGACAGGCGCTGGTGCAGGCTCCGCCCGGTGCTCTTGGCGATCAGCTGGGCCAGATCCTCGAAGTTGAGGATGAACATGATGACGACGCCTTCCTCGTTCTTCACAGGCACCACATCCACCAGGCAGCGGAAACACGATGCTGCCGAGCAGAGAGAGGCTCAGGGGGGATGCTCAGGAGACCCTGACCTCCCCTTCCCCTCCAGCACCAAATACTTTTGGCAGAAAAGTGGAGTTTTGAGCACTTGGGTGGGTGTAATCCCTGCTGGTGGGCATGGAACATGATCTGAGCCCTGGGAAAGGGCCACATCCCCGAAGCATCCCCAGTCACACTGATCACATCTCTTTTTTCTGTCCCAGACAGTCATTTATATTAATGTACTTGAGAGCAGCAATTAAAGAGTGAGTAATTAAGAACTCAGGAAGTCCCAGGTAGTGGTTTAACCTCATTAAGCATCCTGCTTGTAATCACGCTGCAGTTAATTGCCCTGCAATCACCAGGCAGGTTTTGGGGATGGGATGCAGGCAATGGGGGTGAGCCCACGCTGGCAGCAGGACCAGGTGGGATCAGTCCCCAAGGACACTCCCTAAAGGCATGGAGTGGCCAGGCACGGCCTTGTCTTGTCCTGCCTGGGGAAACTGAGGCACAAAGGGGACACAAGGAGTGGCTCAGTGTCCTGGGAGTGATGGAGGCTGTGAGGAGCATCCCAGATATGTCCATAGGGGTTTTCCTGTTGGAGCTCAGCTCGGCCCTGTGGCTCTCCTCGTGCAGCAGCCAGGCACCAGTCTGCAATTAGAGGCAACTGAAAACACCTGCAGGTCTTTTCCAAAGCACCAAGTGAAGGATTTCCCACCTACTTTGCCAGCGTTATTCCCACCAAATCCTCCAAAAACCTATAATCACTGAGTCCCTTCCCTGAGCTCTGTGCTGTTGCTTTGGCACTGATGGCAGCAGGACCCCTGAGCCAGAGCCACTGCCAGTGACACCCTCACACCACAGCCATGCTCTTGGTGACACCAAATGTCCCCTGGCCATGCTGGTGACCCCACACACAGGTGCACATCCAGCCCAAGCCAGTGTTAAACATGGAAAAGATCCAGCAATGCAGGGGGGCTCACAGAGGAGATTCCCCAGCCCCACTTCCAGTGAGACCCCCTCTCAAAAATGCTCCACCCCATGCAGAACAGGCTGGGCAGTCCCAACCCTATTCCCCAGCTCTCTGGGATTTTGGGAGGCGTATGTAACCCCCCCAGGCTCCTATCCCCAAACTCCCAGAGATGATGGAGCAGCCAGGTACCATTACAGCCGGTAGGGAGCCACGGCAGCTCCGTGCCCGCTGTGCCGCCTTCCCCCGGGATTAGCGGCCGGGCAGGGATGCAGGGACGCGGAGCCGGCGCTCCCGCTCCGGCCGTGGCCGCGCTCCAGCCGGGAGGGGCAGGCCGGCCTTCCTGCGTATGATTTTAAGGAGCTCAGGGCCTCCCGTAATCAGGAGCAGATGGCCGGCATCGGGCAACTTCAAAATCTGCCCTGACGTCAGGGATGTGCACATACACGGACACACACAGACACAAGAACGGGAAAGAAATGGATGTGGTGAAACCTGCTCAAAGATCCCAGCAGCCGGGATTTGCTCGTTTGTTCTTTCTTTCCCTCTCTTTTTTTTTCTCTCTTTCTTTCTCCACTGCTCACCAAAGGGAGAGGAAACCCACTGAAATGTGTGAGCTGGGTAGGAGAGAGCGGATTTTTGGCAGTAAAGCTGTTTGGGGGCTGCACGGCATGTGACAGGTTACCTCTGTGTGGAGCAGGAAGAAGAGAGCTCCTTTCCCTCCCTTTGTCAGGATTTTTAGGGCTCTTGAGATGAAGAGATGCCCTGTAAGAGTGGGGTGGCACATGCCTGGTGGGTGACACGGTGCCATCCCCAGTGCTGATGGTGGCACTGGTGTGTGCAGGGGCTGCGCACAGGGGAGCCCGCTCCAGGATGCTTTCTCCTTTGGTGTGTTAGAAAATGAGGAGTTGTTTTGTTTTTTTTTTCTCCCCAGGGGTGATTTTGAAGCATCACTGATTTCCTGGAACCCACAAAAGTTCACTGGCATGGGCAGCCATCAACTCCAGGCTTCCCTCTGGAGTGGGAATTCTGATCCAGACAACCCAAACCTGGCTCAGGTGCTCTGCATTCCTTCACTGCCTCAGGTCCTTCCTAAGTTCCTCCATGGCAGTGGGAGGGGATGGGCTCTGAGCTGTTCTAGGGGTCCTGGATCCTGGCAGGCCCTGTGTGGCACAGGAAAGGGTTAATCCCATGGCCAGTGCTGAACAGCTGAAAACTGGGCCCAGTTACATCCAGTTGGAGGGATATAAGGAGCAGCTGGGAGGTGGCTGGGGGTGGGTTTGGGTGGCAGCTGGTGCCTGGTTTGATCCTGCAAATCTGGGAGGTGCTGAGCTTGAGCAGCCCTGGCCAATGTCACTGTGAGCCCCTCACTGATCCCTTCTTAAATTAAATAAAATAGACTATTTCTGTTGGGAGGGAACTACAGCAATAATCTAGTCTAACTGCCTGGCCAATTCAGGGTTGGCCAAAAGCTAATCCCCCTCCAAAACCAGGGCAATCACCCCAAAAGTGGCCCCAACAGGCACAGCCCTGCTCAGACCCACATTGCACAGCATGGAGTGTCAAGGGAATGAGGAAGGATCAGGGTCCGGGATGGGGGCAGCACATTCCCTTAAGCCTGGCCCAAAGACAGGGCATTCCCCAGGATTTGGGGTACCCCCAGCTCTGTGGAGAGGCTGCAGCTGGGAGAGCCATGGCACTCTCTGCCCTGACTCAGTTTCCTTATGGTGAGATGAAGGCTGAGCCTCCTCATCATTCTTCCCAAAAACCAGGCCCTGCTGTAGCACCAGGCCCTGAGCCAGCCCCAGGAGGCACCTCAGGCCTGCCCTCCCATCCTTGCTCCTCAATCCACTGTCCCCATCCTTCTCACTGTCTCTCCCCTTCAGCTGTTCAGCTAATCTGTCTCCATCCATCTAATTTTATCCAGCAACCAAATGATCTCTTGGAGGAGCCCTGGGGGGATTCACAACCTGCCTGTGCTCTGTGGCCACCAGCATGGGGGTGCCTGTGCCCATGTGGGGTGAAACCCAGCCTGGGGGCTGCAGACAGGGCTTGGCAGGTGGGGTAGGACAGGGATGCTGGTTTGAAAGCTCCCAAAGCCAACGTGGTGGGCTTGTATTCCCTAAATTTCTGGTTTGACCTTCCAGCACCAAGCTGAGTGAGTGCCTGGAGGTTTGTGCTCTCTGACCCACCGTGTCTTCTGACCTTGATAAAAGCCAACACTTAATAACATTAAAAATGTCATTGCTGGGGGCCCTCCCTCCCTCTCCCCTTATCCCCTGCAGGCAGCGGTGGTTAATGCATTTGTCATCAGTATTGTCATCGGTATCATCAGTATTAAACTAATCAACAGGACACGGGGGTTTCCAGAGCCGGACACAAGCCAGCATTGTTATGAATATTAAAAAAGAGAGCTATTAATCTGTGCCTGGAGCTCTTCCCCAGGCCAGGAGATTTAATCTGCAGGGTCTCATGGCACAGTGGCTAAAGCTATAGTGGGATTATATAAAGGAGCAGAGGAGAGGGGCTGGGAAGGGCACGGAGGGGACGGGAATGGAGCAGAGCTGTGCTCTGGGGCCAGAGAGGAGCCTGGAGGACCAAGCTGTGCTCCCATGCTGGGATAAATCAGTGTCGGGGCTGGGTGGAACTTCAAAGGGAAGTGCAGATTGCTGGGAGGCCCTAAAGCAAATCCCGGAGGTGGGGTGGAAAAAAATGGAGACAGAGTCTGAGCTAGAGGGAGACTGGTCACTCCTGGGACCTGGGGGGAGCCCCTGCAGGTCTGCATCCCCTTGCACAGGGAGGGAATGTGCAGCACAGACTCTGCCCTGGCCCCTCTCCCCACACCCAGACAGGGCATCGGGAGACTGAAACCTGCCAGGACACCAGGCCAGCAAAAATGACCTTATTAAGTAACATCAGCAGGACAGAGGTTCCCCTGTGCAGGGATTTGTGTGCTTACAGGCCTTGCTGGCTGGAAGCAGCAGTGGGGAGGGAAAATCAGGGGTGCCAATGGCTGAGGGTACCCACCAAAATGTGGCCACAAGAAAGATCCAAGCCTAGCAAGGTGATTTTGGGTGCAGGTGGAAGGATGCTCTGATCCCCAGGAGCCAAAAGGGGGTCCTGGATCAACACAGTGGGTTGGCAAAATGCATCTTAACTCTGCCAGGGCAGAGAAAAAAGGAAAGAAAAACCTGCTCCAGGCAGCATTCTTAGAGATGCTGAGGATGATCTGGGCCTGTCCTTTTGTTCATGGGACATCAGGTCCAAGCAAAAAGCATCTGTGGGGATGAAAAATGTGTCTCTTCCAGCTCTCTGCCCTGGTCACACTGGCCCTGGGGCACAGCCAGGGCAATGGGGGTGTTTGGAGCTGCAGCACAGCCGTGCCAAGGGTGGCAGAGTTGGCGCTGCAGATAAGGATCTCTGGTCCCAGAGCTTTTGCCATTGTGAGGAGGGATGTTTATAAGTTCCCATCTGGAGCTGGGCTCTGCTATCCATCCCTCTCCCGAGGTCACAGACTGACCCTTAAAGCAAACAGCAAACAGCCCTAGCTTGGCATAGACCCCATGGGTTTGTACAAGCCAAGAGCTCCGCTTGGGGCTGGGGTTCGTCAGCTGGCTGTGCCTTCCTGCTCCTCCAACACCCAAGAAATCCCCTTAGTGCTGCCTTGGCCCCACCACGGGGCAGCAGCAGAGGCTCCCTGGGGCTGCCAGCACCAAATCATCCCTGGCAGTGCCAGGATGCAGCAGCTGCTGGTGGGATTTGCCCTCCTGCTCCCAGTGCACCCGTTGGGCACGTCAGATGCTGCTGTTTACAAAGCTGCATGGAGAAACCCTGGCTGGATCCATCCCCCTGCCTTAGCCAGGCTTGCTGGCAGCCGCTGCTGGAGAGGAGCAGTGCCCCAGATGTGCCCTGGGCTGGGGACACAGGGGATGTGTCACATGAGTGCCCCTGCTCCCTTTGGAGGTGGTGGCACTTCCCAACCCATGGGGACCTGTTGGGGGGATATGCTGAGTGGCACAGGGCACCCCAATCCCTCCCAGGGGAAAATCCTGGCCTCTGTAGCAGTGGTATGAGTTTGCTGGCCTGATCCCAGCCCCTAATCCCAGTTCCATGGGGACTGACACGGAGTGCTGCTGGAGGGGCCAAGCTGTGGGCTCTGCCCAGCCAAGGACAGGCTGGAGGGGCTGGGGCTGCCCCAGCAGCTGCTCCAGCTGTCACAGCCACGTCTCCCCTTTCATATTCATCAGCATCACATTCACGCAGATTAAGCAGAGCCAGTGCCACCAGCTGCTGCTGCTCAGGCCATGCTGGCACTGTGGCACTCAGCACCTGTGGCCACCTCCAGCTCTGGGGACCCCGTGAGCCCTGGCCAGTGGCTTCACTGCAAGGCACATCCCCACCTGGGGAGGGAAAAACCATCCCTGGGTGCAGCTCAGCTCCTGGGTGTCATCCTCAGGGGATGCTGGAGGATTTGAGCTCCCCCTGGCCACGGTGTGTCTGCAGGGCTGGGGGCCATGGCTGCTCCTTGCTGTGGCTGCAGCTGATCCCGTGCTGACCCCCCTGTCTGGGCCAGCTCCAGCTGTGTAGCATCTTGTAAGGAAATTAACTTTTCACTGATCTCCCAGCTTTGAGCTGGGGATTAGAGCCCACACGCGCTGCCAACGGGCTCTTCCCTCTTTCCAAGGCCTTTTTGGGGCTGGCACGGCAGGGAGGGACGACTGCCCTGCCTGGGCTCATCCCACCTTCCCCCACAGGAAGGTTCCATTTTGGACTCACTGTTGGCAGCCCTGGCTCGTTTGTCTCTGTTTATAATTATATAATTATATTTTCTATTAGGTGATGACAGCAGAAACATCCAGGTGGGGACCGAGCAGCCGGGCTGTCCCCAGGGATACATATCCCCCATCACTCAGCACCCTGCCTGACCCCAGACACCCTTGGGTGGCCCCTTCCTACCTGCCTCCCTCCATCCCAGCCTGGCCCTGCTCGGGTGTCTCCAACGGGCAGATTTTGGGTTTCACATTGCCTCTGTCAGCCAGGAAAGCCAGGAAACAACCCCGTGAGCTGCAGAGCCGGGAGTACCGCAGTAATAAACAGCAGGTCGAGGCTGGAGATTGGTGCTGCTGGTATGAAAAAGAGGACAGGCAGGTTCGGAGCTCCGCTGGCTAATTAAGCAGCAGCTCCCTATAATGCAAAAGCCTTTTCTTCGCCGATAAGACCCATTTATAATGGGCCGAGCGGTCGCAGGCTGAGTGCTGGGGGGAAACAATTGGAAAAGCATGCTGCTGGTGGGGCTGGGTTTTAAAAATAGACATGAAGGGTTTGCTTCTGGGCTTTTTTTTATTTTTTTCCCCCTCTTTTTTAATAAAAAAGAGAAGAAAGCAGCTCAGAGCTGCAATGAGAGTTCCCCATGGCCTAGAGGAAGAGCAGGGCTCTGAGGACAGCACCGAGCATCCCGTGAGCCCAGCAGGAATGCTTCAAAGCAGGGAGCACGGTGATGCATCAGGCTCACAAGCCAAGTAGTCCCCAGGGATGGAATGGGAAACTATCCTGAGGGAGGGAGGGAGGGAGGGAGGGAGGGAATGGACCAGGGGTGGCCATGCTGCCCTTGCCACAGCCAGTGCACAGCCACTGGCACTGGATGGGAGCAGGGGCACAGCGTGTGCCACGTCTCTGCACTGCCCTGGGCTCCAGCCAGGCCCTGGCACCACTCATGGCCCCTCTCCACCCAGGAGAGCCCCACAGGAAGAGCCTCGACCGAGTGGCTGATCCTGCCACCACACAGGGCCAGGTCCTGCCGGGATAACGCCGGGATAACACGCAGAGGTGCTGCCAGTGAATAACTCTGATACGCTGGCACCTGGATGCCAGCCCGGGAGATGATAGGGTCTGGGAGGGAGGCCAGGACACCCCAAGATAGGGTGCTGGGCTGAGAGCCAGGGTTCCTGCCTGCTCCTTCCTTTTGCTTCCAGTGCTTCTCCCCTAACTGGCTGTCTGGGAGCTGCCAGCAGATTGGGGTGCAGCCCTGTGCTCAGGCCAACCCCCATCAATACAATCTGAAGTAATGGGAAAGCTCCATAGGTTAAAAAAAGGAAACACTGAATATTTTTAACCTCCTGTGAGCACCGAACCTGCATTTCCCTGCCCCAGGGAGCCCTGGCCACTGCTGTTTTGCAGCATCAAGCACTAAATATTTATTTAACTTCCTGCCGTATTAGAACTAATCACTCGTATTTTCCATCAAAGCTTCATTTTCATCTTAACGTAATTCCATCTGTGCACGCACAGCCGCATCCTGCTCACTGGAAAGGCAGCTCTGAGGCTGTTGGCTGCACCCACTCTCAGCAGAGATGGGGGGTCTGTCTCATCTCATCTCGGAGCACAGACTGGGAGCCCTGTGCCCAAGCCTGGCTTCTCCACGGATTCTCATTCCTGGCGCAGGGATCCCACAAGCAATGACACAGCTTGTCCCAGGAGCAACGAGCCACCCCCAAGGGCTCACAAATGACCTGATTCCCAAATAATCTGGCCACACCCTCTATTGCTCAAGGTCCCAATGTGCTCCGTGACAGCAGAGATGCCTCCATCCCACCAGGAGCCACCATGGGGGTGCTCTCAGCAAAGCCCTGAGCATGGGTGCATCCTGACGTGTTTGCGTCCCACCACTGGCTTCCCACAGCCCACCCCGCGGAGAGGCTCTTACTGTCTTTGCGGTAGTAGAGGATCTCCAGCTTGCACTCCTCGGAGCCCAGCAGGGCCTGGGTGAGCTGGGCAATGGAGCTCTTGGTGGTGTCGGGGCCCGTGAGGAAGTCGCAGGTGCAGGGCTGCTGCATCACCTCCACGCGCGAGTAGCCGAACATCTCGCAGAAGCCGTCGTTGCAGTAGATGATGGCGCAGTTCTCCATCTGCGCGTTGGCAATGAGGAACTTGCGGTCTGCAGGAGGGCAGGAGAGACAGCACCAGGCTTAGAGGGGTGGTGGGGGGCGAGCTTGGGAGTTTTGGTGTCGCCTGCTGTGGGGCTCGTGCAGACAGGTGTCACTGGGGACAGCTCTGGGGGGACAGCGGCTGACCTCAGCCCACACAGGACTGCTCTGCTCTTCAGAGAGAGAAAGTGTCCCCACTTCAATGTGAATTAGTGGCTGTGGGGCAGGGGGACACAAAGTGGGGTTCTCAGTAGAGGCAGTTTTGCTGGGATTGGCCAATCCCTGCAGCCTTGACATTTCACCACAGGCATGTGGGGACTCTCTGCTGTCTAATGGGGAATCTGTCCCTGACCGGCACTGCAGGCACAGGGGAGAGCTGCAGCCTCTGTCCCTTCCCAGGAGCTTATCAGGGACCTCAGTTATCTCAGAGACTTTCCACCCTTGCTCAGATTTGACTGAAGTCAGGCAAGGGGCAAGAGGAGGAGTGAGTCTAAGGCTTGGCTTCATGGGAAGCAGGGGTGAAACCCATCACATTAATGGTTCTCCTAATGTTTTATAGGGTAATTGTGCCTTTGGGCTGGAGGTGAAATCCAGACTCTGCTGGGATTTGTGGCCCCTGTGCTCGAAAATAAAGTGCTTAAGGGAAACTGAGGCAGAGAGCAGCGCTGCCCCATTCCCTCCTGGTGCTGCAGCCACCTAGGCTGGGCTGAGGTCAGACTTGCTGCCTTGCCAGGGTGTGTGGCAGTGCTGCACAGCCCACGTCATCCAGCCCACATGGAGCCACTTCCATCCTTATCTCGGGGTGAGCTCCGATTTGGTTTGATTTTGTGTTTTTTTTAAGGATATCAGGGAGTGCTGGGCTCTGGGACAGGTTTGCTGGGATGTGACAGGGAGCTGGATGCTTATGTGGTGCCACATCCCCCCCAGCACCATCTCCCTCAGCATTTGGCATCAGCTCTGGGCTGGAGCTGAAGGCAGGTCTGAGCAGAGGGTCCATTTGGAGGCTGCCTCCCAGCCCAGACCCCAATTAATCTCCTGGATTACCCAGGAATGGCATCTGCAGCTTGCGTGCTCCAGAACCCTGCTGCACTCCAGCCTCATGGGGAATTTCACCCAAACGCAAGAGGAACCTCTGCACAGCTGTGGCACCGAGTGCTGGGGTGGGGGGACCCCTCCCAGGCACATCAGGGCTGTCCCCAGTGGCACCTGCAGGGTCCCAGCTCTGCAGGATGCCTCCCAGTAAAACCAGAGTCCCCAGGGATGCTGCACAAGTCTCCTGCCCCATTCCACCCTCTGGCAGCCCCTTGGTAGCCCTTTCTGGGGGCTCCCACTCTGGCACCCTTCCCTTTCCCACACGGGGCTGGTGCTGGGGCCGATGCTGCAAACAGCACAAACCACCACAGACAAACATTCCCCAGTTCCTTCTTCCCGATCCTTCTACCTCCAAACTGCTTTGCCAGCACTAGGAGGGGACCTCCTCCCAAAGCTCTGCTGCTGGGGCACACTCCCCACCTGTGATGAACAGTTCCCCCATCCAGTGTCAGCCCCATGGGCTGGATCCAGCCTGGATCCCGGCTGGGCTGGCGCAGGACAGGATTTACAGGGCTGGCAGGGCGCCGGAGCAAGCTGTGCTGAGCACAGGGATGTGACCACGACCACGATGGGAAGGAGCTGCAGAGCCAGGTCTCCTTGGGGGGGGGGTTTCACCCCCAATTTGCTTTCTGTCCTGCAGATTTCCCCTTGGCCCCACAGTACAGAGCCCTGGCAGGGAAGAGCTGGGCCCCTCTGGCTGCACCGGGGACTCACCAGGAGCAGCTTCACCCGTGGGAGCTGCGGTGCTGGGGATGAAGGCACCCAGAGGCACCTGAGAACTCATTGCCTGTAGCAAAGATGTATTAGGTGTGCTGGTTTGCTGTCTCCCAACACCTGCCACAGCACAAAACTGCCGCGGGGGAGCGTGGGGCGATGTTTGGGCAGAACCCAGCTGGTGCCCGACATGGCTGGCAGGGAGCGGGCACGGAGCGGGCACGGAGCGGGGTCTGGCTCCGTTCTCCTGTCACGCCTCGCCGCCTGGCCCCGCTGCTCCCCAGCCGCCGCTTCCCAGGGGGAACTGATAGGAAGCAGGCACAGTTTTTCTCACTTTCCATCCCCAGGGTCACGTCAGTCACCGCCAGGCCAGGCAGCGCAGAGCCTGCAGGGATGGCAGCGCCAGGGAATTTGCCCACTCGGGAAACTTGGACACGCACAAAAAAACCCCACAGCAAGTCGGGGCAGTGGGGGCTGCACCCCACAGCAGCCCCCCGAGCTCAGTTTTTGGGGGACCCCGGTGCCCTGGTCCCCTCCCGTCACCCCCAGCATTGTAGGGGGGACCCATCCCTATTGGGGTGCCCAGAGAGCGGGAGCGGAACCCCCGCGCCCCCACCCAGGCACACGCAAACCCCAGTGCTCCCCTATGTGCACGGACTTTCCGCCGTATCTGACACGAAACCAGCCCCAAAATTCATATAAAGGGATTACTCGGAGCAACAGCAAATGGCAACGTCTCACCAGGGACGGCGGCCGCCGAGAGCGCAGAGTTGAAGGCAAACAGGCGGCGAGC